TTATGACTTAATAACTAAAAAATACATTAATTATACCATAAATGTAGAAGTTAAAAAAGTCCTTCTTTAATATTAATGCTTATTATCTATCAACTTTGGGATGATTGTGTGGTTGACCCACCAATCACCATCAGGAGATTAATTGAAGTTTCCACAGCACCAATTAATCTTCTCTAGTCATCCATTTGCGTTCGAGATTAATGTGGCCCAAAATCAATCATTTCATAACCAAGGACTATGAGCAGTTTAGACCCAAAATCTTTCCACTAACCTCTAGTGCTCCAGTTCAGTCTGCTTCCCATTAAAAATTCTGCACATTTAAATGCTCTTTTGACATAAATTTGTATGAAAAGATATAAAAATTGATATTAATTTTAGTACTAATGTTGCTTAATGCATTAAACTAAATAGTTGATCTTAATTAATTTTTTAAAATATAAATTTAGGACCAAAATTTACATTTATATTACACCCTTAAAGCAGAAGTTAGAAAACAAACCTTCAGTTTTTAGTCACAAATTGCTCTTATGTTTCCATTCATTTTACTTGTTTGTGCTCTTACAATGGGGATTTTCCTTAATTTTTTTCTTAAAGCAGATTTTCCACACAGGCTACCGTTGCCATGGAAACCTTCCTCTATTTGTTAAGTACCAATTGCTCCATTAAAGAAGCTTCTGATGATTTGATCTCATGGTAGTCTAATAGTTGTCTAGGTAAATATCTTCTTTAAATGACAACCCCTGCTCAGCGGCTACACTAGTCAAGAGTTTATTGGTGTTTTTCAACACCACACCATCTATTCTAAAATACCTGTCATTTTTTTTTTCTAAATTAAAGATTTAGAGATAATATTTGTATTTATCTATAATATCTTTAAAAAATTATATATATTTTTGTAATTAGGTTGTTAGTTAAAATGAATGAATAATGGTAAGATTAAAGTAAGAAAAAAAATATTTATCTATTATAAAAAATGAAAAAATTATAATCAATTTGAAACAAATTCAAAATCAAGGAAAAAACAATTATTTTAAAATAGAATAAGTAATAACTAGGATTACAAGGAGGTATTTATCATACATGTGATTGTGGCTGGCTTCTATATATAGTGGATTCTACTTCTAGTTTTGTACGAAGCAGAAATAGACCAAAAGAGCAAGTAACTCTGGTTACTGGTATAATGGCAGCCCCCATTTCCTCCATCTTCCTCGCTGCTTTGCTACTTCTCCTATGCGTTCTTCCCACCTTTGAGCTGCGAGAATTAACAGCGGAGGACTACCACCATACTCTCCAAGTCAGCTCTCTTCTTCCTTCATCTGTTTGCAGTACTTACGAAGGTTAATATATTCCCTTTTCTTCAAGAGCATGCATGCTTTGTAATTTCTAAATAATTGAGCTGCTGTTTATAATCCTATGGCTCTTCTGTGCATATATATATACTTTAGGTTTGGAAAAAATGCCATCGTCTTTGAAAGTAGTGCACAAGCATGGCCCATGCTCTAACCTCCATCAAAAAGAATCAAGTGCTCCAACCCATGCCGAGGTCCTCCTCCAGGACCAGGATCGGGTCAACTCAATCCACTCAAGGCTTGCTAATTCTGGCGATACGAAGAAGACGGATGCTACCACATTGCCGGCCTATCATGGAAGTACGATAGGGACGGGGAATTATATCGTCACGGTGGGTTTGGGCACCCCGAGGACGGATCTGTCCCTCGAGTTTGACACCGGAAGCGATATTACTTGGACACAGTGTGAACCTTGCGTTTCATACTGCTATAAACAGAAGGAACCCATATTCGATCCTTCTAAGTCTACATCATATCTCAACATTCCCTGTGCTTCTTCTATTTGCCGCTCTCTGCCAGGTAACCCCAAATAGAGTTAGGTGTGAAGTCCAAACGTAAAAAAACCAAAACGCACACTTAATGAATCCAGAGATAAAAACGGATTAATTCTTTATTTTGTGCATGGTGAACTGAAAACATATTTTCCTTTTAAATTTTTAGTCTTCCATCACAAAAAAATGGGAAATTTTTAAAAAAATACTACGTACCTCGTTCAATTTTAGTTTTTTTACTTTCTAATTTTAAGCATTTAGATTTAGGTTTTTTACTATTTTATTTGAAAATGTTATTTAATATATTTATTTATATTTTATTATTTTTAAAAATTAATATTATATTCTCTCCATCTCAAAATAATTATCTGACTTTAAATTTATTTTAAATTAATTTTCATTTTTTCAATTTTTAAGGTAAACAAAAAAAGTTTTCTTATTTCAACCCTATCATTATCTATCTATTTTAGTTAATTATTCTCCTACAAAAATCTTACTTTATCTTTTAACTTTTTTTAAAGATAATATAGATAAATATATGAATTATCCCTAATCTCTTAATTTAGAAAAAAAAAAAAAGACAGTTATTTTGAAATAAAAAAAAAATAAGTAAGGTTATTTAAGTTGTAATTTATTGTATTTAATTAGAGATAAATATAAAATTTTATCATTTTGTTATTACTACTGTATATCTCTATTTTATTGGAATAAAAACAAATAGTGAGGGAATAATGTATATATGTTCTAGAAGTGTTTTTAAAGCCAAGGACCTGATTGCTCGATATCAAAGGTTGAGGGTAGTATTGCAAACAAAACTAAAAATAGAGGTGCGAAAGTAAAATTTTCAATTTAGATCTCGTGTCAACCTTAAATTAATTAACGTTCATGAATGCTGTTTGTTTCAGCGAATTCGTCAGGCTGTTCGTCTTCAACCTGTGTTTACGCAGTCCAGTACGGCGACTCATCCTACACCATCGGGTTCTTTGCAAAAGAACGGCTAACCTTAACGTCGACGGACGTTTTCGACACCTTTCTGTTCGGATGCGGAGAAAACAACCGTGGGCTTTTTCGGGGTGCCGCCGGGTTACTTGGGCTTGGCCGTAACAAATTTTCCTTCCCATCCCAAACAGCCCAGAAATACAACAAACTCTTCTCTTACTGCCTCCCGTCCTCCGCCAGCTCCACTGGTTACCTCACATTCGGCAACAGCGGCATCTCCAGTTCAGTTAAATTCACCCCATCACCCAAGCTTGGCGAAACCTTTTATGGCCTTAACATCATCGGAATCAGCGTCGGCGGTAATAGACTATCCATCTCATCATCGGTGTTCTACAACGCCGGAACCATAATCGACTCCGGAACCGTCATCACCCGCCTCCCACCCACGGCATACTCCGCTCTCAGAACTGCCTTCCGTCAAGGAACGTCCACGTACCCGAGTGCAGATGCCCTAGGTATACTGGACACGTGTTACGACTTCAGCAATTACGATACCATCAGAGTACCAAGAATAAGCATATTCTTCAGCGGCGGTGTTCAAGTTGATATAAACGTCTCCGGAGTCTTTTTCGCCGCAGACGTGTCCCAGGTGTGCCTGGCGTTTGCCGGAAACAGCGATGATTCTGACGTGGGTATTTTCGGAAATGTGCAGCAGAAAACATTCCAAGTGGTGTATGATAATGTTGGAGGAAGGGTGGGATTTGCCGCCGGCGGGTGTCGTTGAGAAATTCCGAGCAAATAATGGAGAGTCGAATCTTCGAGTTGGGTCCTGAATCTTGAAGCATATATAGGAATAAGAAATGCTTGGTTTCGTTTCGTACGTCATTGTAAGTTGAAGCTATTAAAATTGTAAAATAAAAAATACTGCTATGGAGAGCTTGGAAGAGTCAGGCTCGAGCTTAAATGTTAAATGAATATGTTAGACTACTGGTCAAGTTGAAACTACGGGCTTGATTGTGTAATAAAATAATGAGCTCGGAGCTTGTTAAGTTTTTGTAGTGTAATTTTATTTTATGAAGTTGGCAACTAAAAAGAGTAAAAATAATTTATTATTAATATTTTAATAGAGTATCAACGACTTATTGATGTAAGTAGAACGAAATCGATTCTTCTCAAATAAAATTTTAAATTCGAGTTTTGTGAATGAAGGAATAGGTATTGAGAGAACTTCTCATTATAAGATCAAATACGCCTCGATTTTAACTTTGTCAAGATTTAATATAATTATCGAATACCAAGAAATTAATATTATTTAACAGAGTAAAAGCATCTAACTACTTATTTTAAAAAAAATTTAATTTTAATACACACAAATTCATCTACTCTTAAAAGTTACTCTATTTGATTCATAATAATTGTGTTTTTTGTCTCTCTCTAAATTAAGTATTTGGGAAATGTTTATCTATATATTTATATGAGAAAACTATTTTACAGGATGGACTGTATGTAGTTCGTCCTATAAAATTACTTAAATACTTTTAAATTTGTTTTTATATTATTTTTTCATGGGCATTTAATTAATTTTATAAAGCGGACTGCATACAGTCTGCCTTGTAAAATAGTTTTCTGTATTTATATTATCTTTAAAAAAAATTAAAAGATAAAATAAGATTTTTTTTATAGAATAATCAATCAAAATAAATAGATAATGATAGAGTTAAAATAAAAAAATATTTATCTACTTTAAAAAAAAAAAGACAATTAATTTAAGATAAACTTAAAATCAAGAATTAATAATTATTTTAAGACATAGAGAGTATTTATATTCTTAGTCATTTCGAACCATTTATATTGATAATGGATATATGATTGTTGATATTTGTTATTAAGATAAAAGAGTCTTAAGTTTTAGGAGATAGAACTAACACACACTCTCTTTTTTTCCTGAATAATAATAAATGCAACCAAAATATGAGACTAATAACATGACTAATACTATATCATTTACTTAAACAAAACTTATGATTAATTTGAAAACTTAATTAAATATTTCTAGTTAGCTCAAACTTATTTACTTAAACAAAACTCAAGCTTCACTTAAACAATCTCAAAATTGAGTTCCAAGTAAGGCAGCTCGTTTACCATCCTAAATTTAAGTTTGAAAACCACAATTTTCCCTAACCGGAGGTTTCGTTTTGAGAAGGTTGGAAACCCGACCCAAAGTTTTTATAGTGGACTAAGGGCCCATATAGCCCAAAAAAGGTTCAAGGCCCATGAGATCATAGATCTCATCTTTTAATTCATTGGGACCGTACGAATTCCGGACCCATCTTCAAGCCCAAAAAGAATCAAGACAGCACCTTGAATTCTGCTTCTCCAAGTAATATTGCGTTGAGAGACATATACATACATACTATTCCTAACCAATATCATGCAGTGATATGATTATCGTTGAAATTTGGGGTATGTCATTTTTAATTACTATTCACTAACTAGAAAAGGCGTAAATATAGAATGAGGTTTGTGAGTAAGCTAAGCAAGCATATTGAAATTTCGGAGTAAAGTAAGGGAAATGTCAAAGACTTGGACTTAAAAGCCACTCAAGACTCGTTTCATTTTTCCTGGAAATTTGAGGTTTGGTGACATATATAGGATTAAGGTTGTATGGTTGAAACGCACTGCCCGTGGAACAATCGAAGAGCGACCACCCGTTGCCTGAATGAAGGACAAGGGGACTAATTCAAAAGAGCAATAATTTAAAACAGTGTGTTCCTCCTCCTCGTCATCAGCCACTACGTACATGAAGTAAATGAGGTCGGCAAAATATTAAGACTTCGTTTACGAGTGTCGTATTGTGTTTTGACTATAGTTATAATTTTTTTATTTTAAGAATATAAAAAATATTAATTTGAATTAGTGAAAATAAAATATATATAGAAAATTAATTTAAATTATTAACTTTACATTTTTAAATAAATTATTACGTGAAAAATCTAGGTGAAAAGAGTATTGTCAAAGATAGCCTCAAGTAAGTTGTCAAATGATGCCGAACAAATTAGAAATTCTTTGTTATCCCGTGGGGATCCCGTGTTATTTGTGTTCCCTCCAAGTAAAAGATGTCAACTCAGTAATTGCTAATGCTGTTGGTTTTTGCTTTGTCTTTCAAAGAATACATGTTTTCCTTATATAAGAGATTCTTCTACTACGTGCCTACACCATAGTGAAATGAGAAACAGGTTCAAGAAAAGAGCTAATAAGAAGAAAATCAAACTTCAATCTCTTGGTTGTTACGAATTTACGAGATTAGGCGAGACAACTTGGTTTTTCCTCCATAAAAATGATTATAGTATAGTTACTAATTAAAAAAAAAAAAGACAAGTTAATATCAATGAATTGTTGATCTAAATGAAATGAACTTAATTCTCATTAAATAAGATCTCAAGTTCAAGTCTTATAAATAGAGAAATAGATATCAAGAAAACTTCCCTCTAATGAGGTCTAACTTAACTTAATTCCGAATTAATCGGAATTCAATGTAATTAATACCAAGATAAAAAAAAAATAAAGTCCATAATATTTCTCGAGAAGGATTTGCAATTATTTCTTTTATTAAAATCAACTTTCCTTTTATAAGCAACAAAAAATGGTAGTATGAATATTAATACAGTGGCATTCAATAGGATGTATAATTGCACAGTGGTTTACAATTTTACGTTTCGTTTGAGAATATTTTTAGGTATTTTAACTTTTAATTTTTACATCTTTTTATTATTTTAAAAATATATAAAATATTAATTAAAATAAATATTAAATATATTAAATATATTTTTTACATTTTTTAAATGTTAAAGGATTAAAAAACCTATAACTCTAGTTACAGTCCAGTTAAACTAAGCCTTAATCTAATTTATCTACAAAAATGATATAAATAATGTTATTTTGATATTTTATACTTAAAATTATAATGTGTCATTATATTTAAAATTTATTTATGATATTATATGTATTTACTTATTTAATAATATATTATTATTATAAATTTATAATATTATATAATATTGTAACTAAAGTATTATTGTTTAACCTATGTTGTCAAATGCTAATGTTACCCATTATTTGGACTCCTATTTCTAATTTTGATTATATATATACATTGAACATGATTATAATTGGAGAGGGGATAATTGGATAAGGGAAATGAATTTGTGAGCTTCGAAATTCTAACCTATAAATGTGGTCCCATTAACTTAGGTCAATGTCATTGAATCAAAATGTGCAAATCCTAACTTAGATCAATGTCATTGGATCAAAACATTGCAAATCTTAATTTTGATTCTATGATCAAGGTTAAAAAGTAGTGATAGATATACTAACTAAGCTATGTGGCTAATAGAAGAATATTGAAGATTGGGTATGGGATCGCTGGCGTGAATTATGTTTTAAATTGCTCCAGCTTTTGTAAGCCCATTAATTAATGCACCAAAAATCTTGACTGATCAAAGTTTCGCATTACATTATGGTAATATCATATAAATATTTTCCTTTTACCTACCGCAAATCGTAACCCGTTGCCCTTGGTCCTCCTAATAGACAATGAAATTAGAATTTAGAATTAAAAATAAAAAGAAAAAATAAAAGAAAACTTTAATTTTTTTTTAAAA